ACAAGCAAAAATGACAAAATTGCTCCGATCCCCAGGAACTAAAACATTTTCTGCAGCTGTGTCACTAAGTGGTCAAAATGTGTACAATTTCTCTCGAACAAAAATCACATTCATGGTTTCGAATTTTGATTGTTCAGATCTTGCTCCTTTGATTTCTCTCTTTACTGTGGTTGAAAACGAATGTCGATTAGACCCCGCTAACCAGTAGAAAATGGAACTAACTAAATTCTACTGGTGTATGGCCAGCTTAACAATGGTCTTGGTTCAATACTTTGTCATACTGCTTTAGATATAATGAACTGTGGGTGCCATTAAGAAAACATCTACTCCATTATTTTGCCATTACTACCCATGAACTTTTCTATACCTTTTGGCTAAATCAATGCTTTCAGTAGAAAAGATACTGCTGCTATTACTAAACAGGTAATATATCGTCCCTGAATATAATCCTGTAAAACATTTGAAAGGGTCTTTCCAGGCCAAAATAAACTGTGACTCCTGTTTGTCTGTAAGGTGTTTGGCTGTTGTACTGTCATTATGAATTGATACCCTGTGGCCTGTACATTAAAAGGAAGCCAAATCTGTGGAATGTTAAGGATGAGCCAAGGATTCCTGACTGACAGACGAGATAAGGAGAGCCTGACATGAAACACATGCGGGAAACGGTACCAGGCCTTGGTGTCTCCAACCTAAAATTCCTGCTTAGGTTGCAGAGCCAGGTGCACCCTAAGACAGAACAAGATTGTCAGCATGGGCTAAACAAGCTGAAATTCGATGATGGTGGAATTTATATTGGGTTAGGAAAGACAAAGGGAATTCCTGATGGAATGCTGACATGATTTACGATTAATTGTGAAAGCAATACATTTTTAACCAACTTCTGAGTAGATATCTTGTGAGATCTCGAATTGTACAGGTTATTTAAAGGAGAACTATGGGGTTAGGGCTTTTCCCCATAGTCCTCCTAAGGGTAACGGGAGGACACAAACTAGCGTCCTCGCGTCATCCAAAGCTCAGTGTACCGCGAGCTACAGCTCACAGTATACTGAGACGCCGCAGCTGAAACGGATCCCGACAATTATATCTGGATCCGCCTGGCTGCGTGAGTGACAGCTGGCTCTGCCTATCTAGAGGCAGAGCCAGCTGCACCCGCCCCCTCCCCCGTCCGTTCCGCCAGTCAGTGCTGGAGGATTGGACAGGGGAGGGGGAAATCCAGTCAGTCCCCTGTCACGGCTCTCTGCCGTGACAGGATCGAGAAGTGAGCGAGCGCCGGTATGTGTTCGCTCACTTCCCGATCTACTGAGCCGACCTGTGACAGTGTCATTGTCACAGGTCGGCTAGAACTATGAGGATGAGTTAAAAGCACTCACCTCATAGTTCTCCTTTAATCAATGTCTTGTACTAGTTAAAGATATGTTATTCATAAATTAAAAAGATCATTGAATATAGACTAAAACGATCTTAAAATGAGCGCCTTTCCACAATCCTCTGCACAGCAGAAATCGAGATAAGCTGGCCACACACAATAGAGGTGGACAAACATGCAGACACAATCCAAATGGCTGAAAATGTTATCCCAGGCATGTGTGTAAACCTGCACACTTGGATCATCCAGTATGAGTTGTACACAATGGGTCCTCTATGACCTCATTCACACAGAAAGTACAGAAAGCCCTGTACAGTGTGAGGGGTAGTTTTTTTTAATGCATCCAAGGCTTTGGGAAGAAGCGTGCAGGCAGCTCATGCAAGTCTATGGAGAGGCACGAGCTGTGCACCTTCACACGCTGCATCCTACAATTACGAGTTTTGACAGCCAGACACAGACCATCATGTACTTTATGTCTGTGGCTGTCAAACCACAGCTCCTGCGTCTCAATAGACTTACATGAGTTGCCTGTGCGCTTCTTCCTGCAGCTCCGGGAGCATCAACTGCCTTTCACGTTGTGCCGAGCAACAGGCCCCCTGTGAATGAGGCTTTAAAAGGAGAACTATGGGGTTAGTGCTTTTCCCCATAGTTCTCCGAAGAGTAATGGGAGGACACTAACTAGCGTCCTCCCGTCAACCAAAGCTCAGTATAGCGCGAGCTACAGCTCGCGGTATGCTGAGGCGTCGCAGCTGAAACGGATCCCGACAATTATGTCTGGATCCGCCCAGCTGCATGAGTGACAGCGGGCTCTGCCTATCTAGAGGCAGAGCCAGCTGTACCCGCCAGTCAGCGTTGGAGGATCGGACAGGGGAGGGGGGAATCCAGTCACTCCCCTGTCACGGCTCACCTGCGGGGATAGATCAAGAAGTGAGCGAGCGCCAATATGTGTTCGCTCACTTCCCGATCTACTGAGCCAACCTGTAACAGTTTCATTGTCACAGGTCGGCTCAGATTATGAGGCTGAGTGCAAAGCACTCACCTAATAATTTTCCTTTAATGTCCTGCTTGCTTTGTTTTGATCATCAATTTTCTGCACCATTTGGTTTATGTAAATACAAGTACTTGTCAACAGTTGCAGATGACGGGTCAGTCCACTAAAATCCCATAGCATGTCTCTTCTGCAATAAAGAGCCTACCTGCAATTTTTAATTCTTTAAATTTAGTTCCACTTTAAGAAAACCAATTGCCCGATTGTTCACACCTTTTGTTTTGATGCACTTGGGACGTAATTAGGCGATTGAAACTGAAAAGTCAGTTGGGCCTAAAGGAAGAACTCCAGGAAAATATTTAGGTCACATATTGGTTCTAAAATTGTGTAGTTATTTCACAGTAGTTCATGTGTAAATATTTTATTACAACATTTAAAAAGTACATATACATGTCATTTATTTTATACAGTATTTGAATTTTCAGAACAGGCAAACTTTTTAGTATATTTTGAAAGGCAAAACTTGCCTTTCATCTCCTACTTAAGACGGTTTATGAAGTCTGTGATAAGTTATTTATAATAAAACAAATACAATTCTCAGGATTTTTCTTTGGTTGTGGTCTGTGTTTTCCCATGGAGGGTACCACAACTTAGGATGACTATAAACAGAAGAGGAAGCCGCACAGACTTTTGTTGGCGGCTTAAAGTTTATCTCTAGGCATAGAGTAGTGAGGGGTTAGACTGTCTGTCTGATTTTTAATGCTGTTTGTGTCCCCATTGGGGAGATTCACCTCTTTATTTGTACTGGCGGCTGTTATTGCAAAAGTGAGGGGAAAATTTTAAGAGTTGTTACCAGAACAAGAGGTGATGAGAAATCTTCCAATACCTGTTCAAGGAACAACTGTCTAGAGAGAGGAATTCCTCTCACTTTGGAAGATTTCTCTGGGAAACAGACAGCAAAAAATAAACTAGCAGGGCTTTTAACCCATTCTACTCTATCCAAAACTATACATTAAATACTATGCTTTATTAATGGAATACAAATAGCCAAGATGTATAGTGATCTATATTAATCAGATTTTAGCATTCATGCATTTATTAGTTTACAACAGAACAATAAAAGGTGGTTTCTGATTGCTGACATTCACACCACATGCCCTTCACCCCAGAAAACAAAAAAAATTCTAAACAATTGATCTTTAATTAAAGCATGGGTGTCCCCACTGGAAGATGTACCCTCTTATCCTGTTCTGGCAACAAGTGTCAAATTTTGTATTTTCCATCACTTTTTGTCCCGGTAACAATGCTCACCAGGACAACAAAATTGGGTGAATCTTCAAGATATGAAGATCCAGGCATCTTGTCCATCTTACCATCGTGTCTTGAATTGTATTGTGATTGTAATGTCTTCCTTTTATTGTAAAGCACTGCGCAAACTGTTAATATAATGTATAAAAATAATAATTAAAAAAAACATTAGACCTTCCTTACTATCTATGTCTTGTCTAATAATATGTATTGGCTACAGTTTAAGGAAAACACATTTATGATTTAACATGTTTAGAGCTTCCAGAGCTGATGGCTTAAAACGAATAGAGCTGCCCATATTTGTTGCCTTATAAGCAATCCTTTACAAGGGAGGGGCCCTCAGATGGGTTACAAAGCACAAGGCTCTCCATGGTAAAGATGGTCAGATGGCTGGATATGCAATGACAGGTCTGACCTTCAACCATAATTCTGGGAAACCCCTGAAGCCTCTGGCTGTCCTACATATATGGAAGTGAAATCTGCTGAAAAAAAGTCCTATGTGATTCTTTGATCAGTAAACTTGTTAAAGGTCAGAGAAAACTAATATTAAAGTTAGTGGTTCAGTATACCAGCTAGTCAGCAAAGGTAGCCACTATATTTCCTTAATGATGGGCTTTATTTAAGCAGTATTTTTTATTTCTTATCCATACTGTGTTTAATTCTCAGTTATCTGAGAGTAAAGTCATAATGATATCAAAGCAAGCACATCCTTAGGCAACCACTGCCTGCATGATATTTCATGCACAATCATTTTCTTGAATGAGTGGATCAATTTAAATGCATGTCCTATCATAGAACTATAGCAACTGGGTCTCTTCCTGATCACTTTGTAGCATTCCCCTCTCTGCCTCTCCTCGCCTCCTACTGGTTACAGAGTGTGATAGGGTCAATAAGAAGATGAGGAGAGCAGGAATGGGCAGAGAGCATTCAGAAAGATACTTATCACTCTTTCCTTTATTACAGTGCCATTTATACACTTTGCAATAAAAAAAGCAATTTCAAGAAGGACCTGTACCATTATAAATGCAGTGTTTGTCTGTGGCCACTGGTTGGCCATCAGTCCATCCAGTGGCCAAAGCCCATGTCAAAATCTCACACCTTTTTTTACTCTTTATTGTCCTGTTCCATTGTCTGTTATGATGTTGGGGGTTGTCAGTACAATGTCTATCTGAATAAATATATATATTTTTTGTAACATTTGGGCTTCAAGTGTAGTCATCGGGTACAAATTGTTTTCAGTAGGCTCTTTTAGCTATTACAAAGCCTGTACTTGCAAATATTAGATCCACAGGGAATAAAGTTGGCCTTTCTGTTTTTAACATTTGACCTTTCATCCACTTTCAGTTCTGGCCTCCAGTAAGTTTATGGAAAAGTTCTTCATCCAAGGTTTCATTCTGGTCTCTGGAGCGAGTTGAGAGGAAGATGTAACCTCCTATGTACTCATGGACCACTTTGCAACTTGCACTTTGACATGTAAAGGCTATAGATATATTAGGATCAAAGTCAATGGCAACCTGAAAGGCAAAAAAAAAACACAACTACATTAATATATATTAATTATAACAACAGGTACAATTAAATATATTGTATGTTTAAAAAATAAGACTTCTGTTCAAGTTTAAAGAATCTATCCCTAAGTTTAATATTTGCCTTAGAAACATCTAATGAAGGTTGCCATTCTAATCACAGGCTCATATTTGTTTTAGTAAAGTGACATTGCGTTCAGTAAAGCTAATCAGGGAATGCCTGCTTCCACCATAAGCTTCTGACACATGTTTTTAGCTTGATGAATGTCTTTTAAAGAGGAACTCCAGGAATCTAAAAAGATAATCCTTGCACTGGGGCTACCGCCACACTGCAAGTCTTACCTCTCCTTTTGGTCTAGGGGCTCCAATAAAAAAGTAAACTAATCCAATCTTTAATACCGCCTGGCTGGTAGACCAGTGTCCACAGCCTCTTCTCCACCGGGCTCTTGCCAATAATGTCATCACGTCTATTGCAGGTCCATTCACCTGCATTAGACGTGAGATTCCGAGGGACATGCCAAAGCCGGGGAGAGAGAGGAGGTGAGTGTTCACCGCCGCAGGACTGAGGATCAAGTGAGCATATCTTCTGTATTCCAGTTACTAGAGAAAAACAAGTGCTACCCCGCACTGCAAGGGTTAACTTTTTAGATTCCTGGAGTTATCCTTTAAGCCACAGGCCTTCACTGGAAAAGGTTAACTCCAGTGGTAAGAAATCTTACATTTTGGAAATTTTCAAATGTCTTCTAATGCCTCCAAAGGGTCATAAATCTCAATTTCTTAGTTCTTTTAGTTGCAAAAAGTTTCAATTAATTGATAATGATCTGTGGTGCCATGTGACTCCGAGCGAATCATAGATTAGACATCAATAGACTGACTGTAGGCTTAATTCATTAGGATATACTGATAATTATTTTTATCCTTTTTGCAAAGCAAAGTGGAGTGACAGATGGGGACAGAGGACCTGGAGCATAAGGAAGCCAGACTATTTAGGATGGATTATTCACAACAACTCTGCAATATACATATGACACTTTTACAGGTGTCTCCCGTTTTACCATCATCAGGGACCTGAGATGGGAGACCCCCTTTTTGGTGTCCCCAGATGCTCCTCACTATTGGCATCTTTGTGGTGACCACTTCCATCTCCCAAGTGTATGGATCCCTTCTCCATCAATTGTACAAGAAACAATTATGAGGTTGCAAGTTACCTCCCTTTCCTAATGAAGCATTAGCGAAATACGTAGAAGACTGGGCAACTCCACATCTATCTGCAATCTACAAAGTATTGTATATAGTAATGTGATAAACCTCTTTTGTGAAACAAGCCGAGAGGACCAGGGAGGTACACTTTATGCCACTAGAAAACAATTGTACTTTGTACATTATTGATTGAAAACACTTTACTTATAATGCAATGTTTTTAACTCCTGATTTTTTTTTGGTATATAAAATAAACGGATGCTTTTATATAAATATTTTAATGTAGTCCTAGTTTTGGCACCTTAAAAGCCCCAATTATACAAAATATTGGTATATTTTTATTTCCAACACTGAAGAACTGAAAATAACAGTTGCATGACTTAAAACAATGACTGTCTTAGCAAATCAGGATTCCATTAGTATGCATTGACAGAGATACCTATATAGCTTATATAGCAATACTGGCAATAACCAGTTGTATTTGCTATAATAGTAGTGAAGTCCAGAAGTCCAACAGTTATGGTACTCTCAGTAATATATATTGCGCTTGAGGAACCATCTGAAAAAGAACACCAAGCGTCACCCCACCCAATTGTACTAAGCTCCTCCCCTTTATACAGCAGTCAGCCTTGCAGACATAGACTGGGGAAGGGGGGATTATGCACAACTAGATTTACATCTATTTAATGAGATTAGTAGCATTCATAATAACATATGATATAATATGACATATGACATAATAACAATTAGGATCTTCTGACATCAAATTCAGGCAACTGCTAAGAAATTTCTAAGCTAGTGAGGTTTTTTTTTTTTTTTTACAAATTAGGGGGTACGAGGAAAGCTTGTTATTCCTTTCCAATTTGATATGGCATCACACTGATGGTATTATTTTACATACACAAGGTTTTTTTAATGTCATCTTTAGGTATATCTGTCCCAAACCTGTGCAAAGCCAGCTGGGCATACGATGGGAAAAAGCATCATCATTGGTTTCTGTTAGTGAAAACTGTCTGGCTAAACAACCATGGGATCATAAGGTTGCCTTACAGCAATACACAATAAACTGAACTCCAGATAAGAAAAATGTTCATTTAAATATATTCCTCAATGGCCACAAAGGATATAAATCCACTTTGTGAGCACCAAATACATTTGAAAGCAGTGATATTATGTAGTAAGTAGCAGTGCCATCATCACTATGCTGTACATAGCCTGTGCAGAGAGCAGAGCTGTGGGATGGACCCTGCAGACCATCAGTGTCAGGAGAGAGGAGGGGACCCGGCGGCATACCTCATCCCGCTGGGTGAACGTCCCCTCCTCTCTCTGCCTGCGTCCATCACTAAGATGACATCATGGCGGAAGTTACCTGGTCTCCGCTCCGGGGTGACACCCGGCCTTGGGATGCCCCTGGTCAGTGGTTACAAGAAGCAGAAAGAATACAAACTGAACTGGGTTAGATAGAACAACTGACCTGCTGTATTTCCCAGTTAACATTCCATTGTTTCATATTGGAAAATCTCCAGGTGGAAATTGGGTCTCCAGTTGTCATATCTATTCTGATAAGTCTGTTGTAGGAAACTCCGAGTACTTCATCTTTCTTCAGATCCCTAAATCTTTAGAAAAGGAAAACATTTTTATTACAGTCATACCACAGAACACGGCGCATATTTTTATTTTATGATGTTTTGACAAGACATCTGTATGAATGTGAATGCAGGAACAAGCAATATGTCTCATTACAGTATAACAAGGATGGATCTTGGCAAAGTATACAAGATGGAATGTGCAGTAGAAATACAAAGTATACAAGATGCAATGTGCAGAAGAAATACAAAGTATACAAGATGCAATGTGCAGAAGAAATACAAAGTATACAAGATGCAATGTGCAGTACACATACAAAGTATACAAGATGCAATGTGCATTACAAATACAAAGTACACAAGATGCAATGTGCAGTACAAATACAATTACAAATGTGTAATTGTTAAGGTAAGTGGTACCGCATTTGAAAAAAAAATTCATGAGGGAAATACAGGGGCTGCCCTGCTGACCTTTTTAAGAAAATGCTAGTTGCCTGGCTAAGTAAAGTTAGTGGCTTGATTTTGGAGAAAAGACCCATCAGATCAGTATAGTCAGAAATCCTTGTCTGCAATTTTGTTCCTAGTAGGTGGCTCAAATTATTAAGAAATATAAAAATAAATGTCTCCAACACATAACGTTGAGCTTCCGGGCACTGAGGGGAGTGAGAGATGTGACATGAGCAGTGCTCCACTGTTGCCCATTCACAAAATGTCTTGTATTTTTTCTTAAAGAATACAAAGCATTCTGTGATTAGAGGAGAAGAAGAGGAGGTGTAGATATGACATCATCTTCTCTCCTCCAATCACAGAATGCCTTGTGTTCTTTGAAAAAATACATTTAGTGAATGAGCAATAGTGAAGAGGGGTGGGTGATGCGACTGGATACTCTGCTGCCCGATTCGCATCCCTCACCGCCCTCAATGCCTGCACGCTCGGCGTTATGTGTAGAAGCCGGTATGGTAACAGGTAAGGTTTTTGTTACTTTGCAGTGCCCTCTGCACATAACATGCAGCTTATAATCATTTACACACCCAGTGTGGTGTTCAAAACATGATTTTTTTTCCTGGAGTGTGGCTTTAAGGTCTACAAGAGAGGGGCATTTAAAGTCAATCTCCAGGCAAACAGCTAAATACACAGATGAAATGCATATATGGCTGTTTTACCTGCCAAAGCATTTGAATTGTGCCCACCCAGATTCACAGAGCTCTACCACACAGAACAGCCCATGCCTGGCAGGGGCTCCTGTCTTTTTCTGCTGCAGTTTCACTAAAGGGGAAGCAGCTTTTTGATGAGTTCATCTCCCTGTCACTCTGTTCTCACTTCCTATCAGCATGCTCCTTGCACTGCAACACACCTGATTGGCTCCTTGTGCTGCTTCTCCCTCCCCCAATCTGAACTCTGCTGTACAGGGACTGCAAGAAGCTGATATCTGGTCAAATTTAGATTCTTACACGGCTCACAATGAAAACAAAATAAACATTTTAATGATCACAGAGCTGAATTATTTTGTATTTTATATCTGCCTGGAGTTTGGCTTTAAATGTAAATCAAATAAAGACAAAAATCTGTGAAACAAAAATAAAAGGCAGCAAAAACTTAAAAACCATCCTCTTTCCTTTTATTCAGACTCTTTTCTGACTGCTTCTCCTTTTTTTTAGCTCTTAGCAACCTTTCTTTATTTGTATCTTTTTAGCAACCTCCCTCTTACTTTTGTAACTTCCACATCCTTCTCCTTTTTCATGCTTTTTGTAACAGGCTGCTTTTTTTAATGTTCAGCTTTCTCTCCTTGTCAGCCTTTGTTCTTTTTTTACACCCTCTGTATTTTCTGATATAAAAACACCCCTGCTATTTCAAGGGTTACACTGATCACAGGCTGCATGCTCCATTTCAGGGTAAGGGTGCACCAGCAGTAAGTATAACATAATGAATATGTCACCTAAACACTGATGTCAATACCAAAAGAAAGCCCAGAACATAGAATTGTATCTGACACTCCAATATGCTAAGGTATAGAAAGACTGAGTAACGGGTTTTATATGAAAAAATGAATACATTAATAAAATTTTTTTTAAATAAAATACTCCAAAAAAGATAAAAATCAGTTAAAGCCAATGTACAAATCAACCAAAAATACAAAATGCATTAAGAACTTGCATAGCCAGTGGAGTTGATATACTAAAGGAATGTTCACTTAAGCTGGCCATACACCTATAGATTTTCTGCAGATTTTCTATGGTCAGATGGAAAAAGTGCAACAGATTCCTCCATCACAGGAAAGTGACTGTTCACTGAGCTCACTAGATCAGGTGAAGCTGTGTTCTCTTTAATCATCCAATCAAATGCAACAAAGTCTCTTTTTCAATTGTCCTTGAACATTATGGGGAATTCATAGTGAACACTGCCTCATCCTATTTACATTGTGAAAAGTCTCTTCATCTTTAGCAACTCAACTCCATTCTCTGGGAATAGGGAAAATACCATACCCCTGCTTTCGTTTTATTAGCTTTTCATCTCTATTGTGTGTATGTGTGTGTGTATGCGTGTGCGTGTGTCTTCTGACTCTAATATCATTTAAAAAACTCAAAACCATGTGGATTTTTAACCTAAGCAGGACCGGACTGGTGTAATCCCACATGCCACAACGCCATGATCAGAACCTGGTGAAGCCTATCAGCCTTCCTGAGCGATGCCACTTGGGGTGTGTGTATGTGTGTGCGTGGAGGGCTACCTATGCAAATAGCAACCCTCAGAAATTTGCTGTTTGCATTATACCTTATGGGGGGTTTTGGGTGATGCTGGACAGACGGATGTTAAGGTAAGTATTAAGCTGTCCATACACCTGTGAATTTCTTTCATTCAACCCGCGGGCTGAACGAGCGAAATTGCCGTGATTCCTCCATCAACACAAACAGCGTGTTAATCGAGGCACCGCCGCTGTTTGCATTGTATTCTGACAGGTGCCGCAGGCACCTGTTAGAATACCAAATCAGAGCGGGAGGCTCATTGGTTGCTGGCTCTGATTGTGCAAAGATTTTCCAGCCAGCTCCTTAAATCAGCTGATCTACGAATTCCGGCTGAAAGGGAACCGACAGCCCCATACACTGGCCAATTTTGGCCGGTGCATTAAAAACCGTCCGAAATTCCGCCAGTGTATGGGCACCTTTAGGTGCACAAAGCTTGCACTGTCAACTTCTTGGTCCTTCTGGTGGTTAAGTATTCTTCCTACTACAGTATTTGTGAATAGGGTTTTATTTTTATTTCAGATGATAGAACTTGCATTTCCAGGAATCCAGGTAGATAAACAGTTGTGTTTCATTCAGCTAATCTACCAATGAAAATATAAAAATATTTACCTGACAATGTAGTAGGCCATGCCAAACTCTGGCAAAGACTGCCAGGCCTGAATGAACCTCATTTTGGCTTCTATGAGAGGCATCTGGGAAATATTCTGTTGTGCCTCCAGAATGCGAGATACTAACTATGGAACAAAAACAAATAGAGTGCTATTAAATTTTTTTTTATAGAAATCATCCAATTTCTTTGTAAATAACAATACTTTCATTGCTCTGGCGTCAGCTTGTTACTGATACCTTAGCAAAGCCAACAGATAATACATGACATCTACAGGCTGCAACAAGACAATACAAACAGACATAATAACAAAAGAAGCAATGCCACTTCAGAGTCCCGGCTTTCTTAATGGGATTCAAAGAGCATCCCAAATCCCCAAAAACAAGATTTTATACCTCATTTAATCTGTTTATTTCATCTGTTTTTTTACTCTAGGAGAAATTTTCCCTCACTTTCTCTCCTGATGACAACAGTTTTATCAGACACATAGTGGGGTATTAACAAATGCCGAAAAATGTGTCATTTCTATATACTTGCTTTATTAGAGCTTCCTGCTACAAATTAATAAAAGTGGTGCACGCCAATTTTTTAATTTGTTGCATGATGGTGGTGTGCCAGGGTCAAGTGTACTTGCTCCAGCGTGTGCTCGTTTGCGCAAATCTGAGGATCTCTCACTGCAATCATCCTTAATGTCCTTATTTTTTCCCCCTTCTCACTATAAGATTTACACCAGTATGGCTGTTAATTTGATGGACGTTAATTGCGCCAATATTTACACCACAAAGCTGGTAGATTTGTAAATTCTGCCGAAAAGCAAGGAGAACAAGTATATCAAATAGTATGAAGTGTATCAAAATATTTTAATTAAACATAGAACGATATAAAGGTTGGGGAAACGCGTTAGGGATAGAGTGTAACCAGCCTCCCGGAAGACCCAGGACTTACTGCTTTATTGCCATCATACTGGTCGGGTCAACGAGCCTCTGCCATATCGAGTGTATTGAGCGAGGCCCGCTTACACAGTGAAACAGCAGTACGGACCATCGGCTTCAAGCCTAAAGGGAGTGGAGCCTCTGCTATATCGAATGCATTGAGCGGGGCCCGCTTACACAGTGTAACAGCAGCACGGATCATCGGCTTCAAGCCCAGACTGAGTGGAGCTAACTTGCGCACACTTTCTCAGCAACAGGATTTGAGAAAAGCCATGCGACCTTTAAAATGATTTGAATATCCACCAGGATCACAAATTATCATTCGAACACCATCCATTGAGTCATCATTGGGACATCTACTACGGAAGTACGGATGGACTTTTTTCTTGTGGCCACAAGATGAATAAGTGAGTAATCCAGTTACACATTGGGGTCTATTCACGAAGCTGCCGAAGGATCTGGCTGTAGCTTCGGCCGATCCTTCGGCTAGCTTCGGCCCCAGGACCCCTTCGGTTCAGGAGAACCGAGGGGGTGCTGTACGGGCTATTCACAATAGCCCGTACAGCTCCCGATCATGGCCGAGCGGCTCAGTCAAGCCGATCGCACATGCATCGGCTCGGCTGAGCCGTGCAGAAAGCCAAAGCTGGCTGAGCGGCCGGCCATTGGCCGGCCGACAGCCTGCTTCTGACAGCAGGGCGGAGCCATCCGTGATCTTACGGCTGGCTCCGGCCACTTTCAGAGAGATCAGCGTCCCTGGTTGCTAACCAGGGACACTGATCTCTAAACAGCTAACTCTCCCTGGCGCCCCGGGAGCCTCCTGCTCACGGACGCCAAGGAGAGAAACAATACCGTGTCTTTTTTTTTTTATTCTGACACAAGCGATGTCAGAATAGAAAAAAAAATGTCTCCCATTAAAAAGCATTGGGACATTACTATTGGCTATTTCAATTTGCAATAGCCAATAGTAAACTAGCATTGTACCCGCCCTCTGCAGTTCCCCATCAGGTCCATCAGCAGAGGGCGGGAACAATGCTAGTTTACTATTGGCTATTGCAAATTGAAATAGCCAATAGTAATGTCCCAATGCTTTTTAATGGGAGAATTTTTTTTTTCTATTCTGACATCGCTCGTGTCAGAATATAAAAAAAAAGACACGGCATTGTTTCTCTCCTTGGGGGCCGGTAGCGGGAGGCTCCCAGAGAGCCCGGGAGAGTTTTTTCTTTTTTTTTAAACTTTTTCTTTTTTACAGCAGCAGAGCCGCCGGACAATAGGAAACTATTGGGCGGAGCTAGCTGTCACTGCTAGCTCCGCACAATCGTTTTCTATTTACTTTTTTCACCTTTTTTAACTCTTTTTCTGTTCTGCTCGGTGCCTCTGAGGGACCGAGCAGAACAGCCGAGCCACATGCCGCACAGCGGCATTCGGCTATTCACTCACTGCTGTTCGACATCTTTAAGAATAGCCGGAACAGCAGTGAGAAGCCTGCCGGAGGTTCGGCTCAGCCGATCCAGATGTTGGATCGGCTGAGTTGAACTCCTTCTGCACTTCAAGTCGGCCGAACATGCTGAGCATGTTCGGCCGACCCGAAGCCACACGAAGCAGGCCGATGTACGGCGGATTTCAGCCGATGTACGGCTAAAATCAGCCGTACCAGCCTGAAATGAATAGCCGAACAGTGTTCGGCTCACTTCACTTCTGATCGGTCATTCACTCGGCTGCCCTCGGCAGCATAGTGAATAGACCCCATTGATACATCTGTATCCACTGCTTCAATACGGTGTATTCACTCACACCAGTGACTGCTTTCCATTCTGCGGACACTTTAACCCTGACTACTTTGTCCTACACTAGGGTCATTCTAGGCAAGCTATGTCTACATTTTAAGATTTTTAAATGTCATGTACAGGGTGACTTACCTTTATATCGTTCTATGTTTAATTAAAATATTTTTGATGCACTTTATACTATTTGATATACTTGTTCATTGGATAGCGCCACCTATGGGATTTCTATGTCAGAGGGATTGCGTTGTTTGAATATTATTTTTGAAACCCAGGAGTTCTATCCATATTATTTTGCTACTTTTCTGTTATACTCCTTTTCCCTCGTTCTTGTATATTACCTGAAGGGGGGATAGCCTGTGTAGTGGAAGGCCAATGAGGAGGAAGTTGCAATAGTCAAGACGAGAGATAACAAGGGAATGGATGAGTAGTTTTGGGGTTTGTTTGGTGAGGAAGGGGCGTATTTTTGAGATGTTACGAAGGTGAAGGCGGCAGGATTTGGATAGTGATTGGCTGTGGGGAAGAACGGTGAGGACCGAGTCAAGGATGACACCTAGGACCTTGGCATGAGGGGAGGATTGGATAGTTGTGTTATCAATCTCAACTGAAATGTTGGGGGAAGGTGCACGGGGTGGAGGAAATATCATGAGCTCAGTTTATGAAAGGTTGAGTTTTAAGAAATGTTGTGACATCCAGACGGATATGTCAGTTAATAGATTAGTAACACGCAAGGACACTGAGGGGGTGAGTTGTGGAGTGGAAAGATACATTTGAGTGTCATCGGCATAGAGATGGTATTAGAAGCCATGTGAGGGGAGGAGTTAGAATTGTAAGTGACACTAAAGGAGCGCATAGATAAGTAGGAGGAGAACCATGAGAGAGCAGAGTCTTGTAGGCCAAGCGAGTGGCGTTTTTTGTATCAGGGATACAAACAACAATAAAAAGCTGACAGGGGTTCCAGGTTCTAGGGACCCCTGTTTCCTTACTCTTAACTGCCTGCGGACCAGCCACTGTATTAAAATGAATGATCCGCAGGCGCATTATTCCGGCAGGATGTACCAGTACATCCTACCGTGAACACGCGTGCAGGACCTGCAGCTCCTGCTGTCTTTAGATTGTGGAAGAGCTGCAGCTTTACATACATAGCGGTTTGGACCGGCGCTGTATACTGTGATCACTGTGATCACGGTGATCACTGTGATTCATTATCACAATGATCACAAGCCCTCCCTCTTACATCAGAGGCAAGGGAGAGTAAACTGAGTCATGAATGGATGAATCATCCATTCATGAGTCACTATGGTAGTAGCAGTGCAGTTGCTCTCCTGCCTATGTTAGATCCATCCTATCTATGCGTTAACCTGTATATTGACCCTTTCACCACCCTTATCCTGCACATCTATACATTAACCCCTTCATCTCCGTCCTCCCATTGTATGTGACCTGTACCTAATTAATTTTGTTACAGTCTTCCGTGACATAGGAATTCTCAACCAAACTTGCACAGCACTGAAAACTGAAAAATGGCCTGGTAATGAAGGGGTTGTAACATGCCGGTACTGAAGTAGATAAAAAAAATTGTATTCCTGTCTGTGTTGTTAGAAATCTACCCTGACTTCCCGTCTGTTGAAACCACTGTCGCCAGGGCAGGAAGTTTGTGTGGAGGAAGGTGTGTCTCTCCAGATTTCCAGATAATAGTAAAAATCCAACAGGGGTTCTAATCGTTTTCCACACTGGGCAAGAATCAGGAAAGGTATACATTTAAAACTCAATTCCAACAAAAATTTAGTTAAGGATAGAGCAAGGGAGGGTTAAATGCACTGTCACTGTCTGTGCCCCTATTGGCAAGCTTTTGCCTCACTTTCTTTAAAAGAGAATTATGGGGAGAGTGAAATACACTCATCCCCATAATTTAAGCCGACATGTGACACTGCAGCAGTCACACGTCGTCTCTATAACTTGAGAACTGAGCGATCACATACAGCTGATTGCTCAGTTCACGATCTTCTCCCTGCAGAGAGCGATGATTGTCAGTCACTCCCGCGCAGGGATTCCCCCTCCCCTCTCTGTTCCTCCAGCGCTGACTGGAGAGACAGACAGGACAGGGGGCAGGCACAGCTGGTTCTGGCTCTAGAGAGGCAGATCCAGCTGTCAATCAGGTGGCGGGGTTCCCGGCAGCAGCGCGGATCTGTGCAGTCAGCATATAGCATGCAATAACCCGATATATGCTGAGTTTTTGGTCACAGGAGCACATAGTAAATGTCCTCTTATGACCCTAAAGAGAACTAGGGCCAAAAAAGCTTGGGCCATAGTTCTCTTTTAAGACAGGATCGTATGTAAAATGTATCCATTGGATGAACATACATTTTTAGTAGAGGGAAGAAACGCTCTGTCCTGTTGACAACTTCACCCTCATTTCTTGTACGGGTGTCACAGGGGCAATAAGTGAGGAAAAATCTTCCAAACGGGCCACACTTGCTAAATAAGATAGCCCAAATAATATGTATACGGTGTGTGGATGCCTGCTGCTTACTTTAAATATTACACCTTGCTACAAGCCAGAGCCTACAAACAGTGCTGGATTTCTGAGTGCTGTAGGGATGAGAGTAGCGACTATGGCAGTGAAGAGCTTCAGTTGCATCCCCGTCGCATTTTCTGTACTCACGATTCACAAAAAAAGCCTTGATTTTTCCCCCCACAAATTACAAGGTGGTCTGTGAATAGAGGAGGAGAGGGTTGGGAAGATGAGGGGCGGGTATGTGACACGATCTCTTCTTCTCCATTACATCACATGTACCAAAGTTACATTTTTAAAGCCCAATACCAGCTTTTGTGTTCCAGTTATCCTGCTAAATTGACTATGCATGAGAGAAGATGTCCTAGTAGCCTACATGATGACATCATTGTGCTGCGACTGTAAATGTGACATGACAGTACTGGGACCTGTGTCAGTGGAGACATTGGTAATTAAATGATTCATGAAGCTAGAACAGGGTCACTGCATACCTGCTTTGTTTTGTACTTCTTTACATATTTTGGTGACACATAACACTCTGGTTTAATGTCCGCATTTTCAATGTTAGTAGGTACTTGTGCTGTAGTGTTCATGTCTTTCATCTTCAGAAATGAGAGGATGTTCTGTACTTCAGACCGATAAGAGCTGTCTGCCATTGTCTTTCCTTTTCCAGCAAGTACGCACGCAGCCATCCACTTGGCATATTGACTTTCCTGAAGGAAAAGGTAATTGGTTAGTTATGGTTTGTAAACAAATCAACACAATCATAACATTTACATCACAAATGCTCTTTTTGCTGAATGGGCACAAATTCCCACAGACAGGATCCAAAATCCTATTGAAAGCCTTTCCAGGGCAGTGGAAAGACCAGTGGCTGCTAGAGCTGCAAAGGGGGCCAACTCTATATTAATGCCCATGGTTTTGGAATGGAATCTACACCAAGCTCATATAGATGTGAAGGTAGGTGTCCACAAACCAGTGACGTAAAATATGTTAAGGGAAAAATGAGACACTCTCCCTTTTCCTGTAAGATGTAGCCATAGGGAACTGAGCAGCCAATCACTAGGCTCCAGCAGTGTCATATGTTTTAAAAAAAATAAACATATTGGTAAAATAATTTATATCAAGCTAATCACTTTTACATGCTTATCTAAAAACAAAACAAAAAATTCCTATATGCGAGCATGTATACAGTATGTACATAACATAGATGTTACATTAAGCAATCGTTTTTTGTGCCTGCCTTTGTCTGTCAACCCCTTCAAGAAGAAGTACTGGGAGAGTAAAATATACTCTTCCCAATCCTTAGTACTGGCATGGGACACTGTAGTTGTCACAAACCGGCTCTATATTCTGAGCAGTGATCACGCAGCTGACTGTCCTTCTGACTGTGAGTCACTGCTCCCCTCAGGGATTCCCTCCTCTCCTCTCTGCTCCTCCAGCGCTCATTGGAGGGGCAGATAGGGCAGGGGCGGGCTTAGCTGGCTCAGGCTTTAAAGAGGTAGAGCCAGCTGTCAGCATGGCTCTTTGCTGTCAGCAGATACCAAGAAGTAGCCGGCTATATGCTGACTTTGGGTCATAGGTATACATTGGTAAATGTACTCCTGTGACCCAAAAGAGAAGTAGAGACAAAAAAAATATTTGGCTTTGTTTCTCTTCTAAGTGGGAAGATAAAACTTTCATACTTACATTGTCACATCTTAAATATATTTCATTCATGCCTTCTGCAAATGGTATGAGCAATTTTATTCCAAACCTTCTCTGTGATACATTGACATCCGGAACAACTTCACAACCTACAAAACAAATACACTAAAATGTTTCTGTTGAAAGGAGAATTCATTTTGACACAGTTTCCACAAGTGTCCTATTACGAAAATAACGAATGTGTATCAAATGTAATACAGTATTTACATTATACAACGGTCTTATTATAATCTGAGCTCGGGACAAAAGCAGCACACCGATGAGGTCATCTATGTGTGCTTCCCTTCTGCAAACATATTCCCTGTGTTAGACTGACAGCACTGAGCAATGCATTAGACCTGACCAGCTGACAGTGCTGGTACTCACTTTTTAAATAGGAGTGTTGCTGTACATTATTAAAATCGGTTAGAAAGGCCCATTTAAGTACTTATACTGATTACACTTTAAACTATATTTATTGATTTGTATAACTGTATAAAATGGTATTTTCTTGTCATGCCTTAATGGATGACACAGAACTATATTCCAAAATGGATAGCACAAAAAAGCCACAATTCCAATATATATAGTACAATACAAAAGCCAACTTCTAGTACATCTTAAAGCAGACTTGCATCAAAATGCTAGGTCTATCTATCCTTTAGACTCCCATCCATAGCATGAAAAAACCAGGAGTTAAAGACTTAAAAAATCTAGCACAGCATAGTGATGGAGCATTTCTTCTACATGATTTGAAATCCTTAGCTTACCCAGGATCTGGCCAGAAGACCCGAGGCATTAATCTTGACTAGGTGTTGTGGATGGGACCTGGAGTGTAAAGCTGGCCATACAGCTGAAGAAATTTGTTTGAAAACTTTCATTTGCAGAACAATTGTTCGATTTTATATGACACAGTTGGTGGAAATCGACAATAGATGAGTTGAGAAATTGAAACAGAATGCACATTTTTTATTAATTAAACCAATTTTTACATTTAAACATGGTTCCTGGCTGGTAAAAAGCATAATTATTATAGTGCACGTGCTGTAAAATTTACATAATTTCTGTGCATCCCAAAATAGAAGATGGCATGCAATTGAGGGAGATATCATACAAAATGTGTCCATGTCCGTGATGGTACCAACGAATACTCTGATGAATGATTTTGCTCCTTCTTTGCACAAACGTTTTACAGGTGTATGGCCGGCCTATGTACAGTTTATTTTTCCCTTTTCACATAATTTTTGAATTTCTTATCTTTTGATTCGACATGTTCTTACATAGGAGGGTGGGTGGGGGTCTGCAGGATAAGCAGACCTTTTTGCATTTTGATGTAAAGGCAGTTATAATAATGCCATCCATGTGCTTGCAGTGGTGAGGGTCTGAAGGAAAGCAGAAGGTAATGAGAGGGGAGGACAGCTGCTCGCTGACTCAGCCGTACCCTCTGCACAAACAGGACCTTGACCTCCTATGCACCTTGTTAGTGTTACCCTGCCATAGGAACTAATGCAATCCCATGTATCACATTTGATGCAGATTAATTCCATGATATAACATTGTAGTCATAAATCTTTTTCTTATAAATCTGTGTTTTAGAAGTAATGTATTGCTATAAGTGATAGTGATTGCATGTTGCCTTAATGGTGCTTAATGGTTGCGGGTGGTGGTTGTCCAAAGGCGGGTGGTGGCGGGTGTCCAAAGGTAATCTCTTTACACCCCTCTCTGAAATGTGAACGTCATGCTGCCAGTTTTGATCTAAGAATTGAAGTGGATACTACTTCAACCTGCAGGAGCATAAACATTTTTGTGCACCACTTGAATATATGAGCAGCTTACTAATTGAAAGTTTGAAATATATCTTATAAACTATATGGGGGATTTATCAAAACTGGAGGAGACAGAATATGGAGCAGTTGCCCATAGTAACCAATCAGCTTCTATCATCAGTTTGTTTAGTTAAGATTTGAACATGAAAGAGAGAAGCTGATTTGTTGCCATGTACATTTGCTCCAGATTTTGTCTGCTCCAGTTTCGATAAATTCCCCTCTAGGTATTTTAGTAATGGGTTAAAACAGTGCCCTGTGCAACTCTATGGGTCACATATTTGATCCTAATATACCCAATAATACCTAAAAGGGATGACGGAGATGTTTGTAATGTGTCACTGAGCAGAATACAGTACATGTGATGGAACTTTCAGCTGATTAGTGTAAACACATCATAGTGGGCAGAGGGCTGCTTAGTCACCATTCGGGAGATTATTTTAGGAATGTTGTGTCCTTGTGGGAGGTGTGTGAAAAGACAAAGTGTTTATACTAGCGACTCTATATTTTATGGTCTTGTGTATACAACAGGCATGCTTCACATTTTTAAAAGGTAAAACATATCAAATATATATATAAGCATTTAATTTAGAACACAGCTTAAGCATAAAGTACAGGGCAAAGCTTCCAGATGCAGCGAGCATGACTTTTACCAACATAATGCAGCATGTTGGTGGGAATGGGTCTTAACTGTTATTGTTGAGTTACTGACCTGTAACAAGTATGCAGATAAGGAATTCTGAGATTTCTCCAACCTTTCAGATCAGCATACATGTTCCAGGCCAGTGACTCAAAGATCATTTAAAACCAGTAGGTCAGCGTAAAACAACAAAAACAAAAATGACTAATGGGACTTCAGCAACAGTGACTCTAGGATACCCTCCTTCATATATATAACTGAGCTCAGCAAAAAGACAGGCACATTTTAGAATGAATACTCAATTGCAAATCTTACATTACTCTCAAGACAAGCTTTCTTTAAAGTGACATTAACCCCTTAAGGACCAGTGACGTCCATAGTACGTCACTGGCATCTGGCCCTTTTAAACAGACTCCCGGCGGCTAAAGACGCCGGGACAATGTTTACAATTGTAAATCCGACTGTCCCGGCCCTTGTACAATGGGACCGGGAGCGATGCAAATTACATCACTTCCGGTCCCATAGCTGTCAGTTCTGGGCTTCAAAGTCCCAGCAATACGCTATTGAAGTGCGATCTGCACTTCAATAGCTTATTTCAGGTGGAAAGGTGACACTAGGGGTCTTTTGGACCCCCAGCATCACCTTAAAGAGTACCTGTCACTATCAATCTGCTATCACATGGGGGCTTGTAAGTAAAAATCCAATGGAGTCACTCTCTAAGAGGGGATATTCCCTGACTTTGGTGAGATTTCCTCTTAGTTCCTGTTGTGACAGGATAGGAAGTGAAGAGTCCCTAGCAGATGCAAATTGCAAAAAAAAATGATGTCACCACACTTGTATTCCATTGAGAACTACAAGTCGCTCTGCCAGAGTGGCTGATGGAAATGGTGGTTTCGCCATTCAAAGATCCTGGGTGTAACAGAAAACATGGTCAGAACAGTAAATGTAGCCTTTAACTTTCATTCAGTATATGGATTTATGGCAGTGCTGTTGTCTCTTGAAGCTTCTAAGTTCAGATCCCAACAGGAATGCTATATGCATAAGGCTTGTTCATCCTCAGTGTGAGTTTACTCTGGGCACTCCAGTTTCATATTAATTTCATGTTCCTGCGCATGGTTTGAAGGAAGATGTGCAGGGGCTCTAAAATTGGAGTTTAACGTTGAGATTTTTATTTAAAGTTTCCAAACTTCACAGGCCCCCACAGAGTTATGCATGGTAAGTGAAGGTATATGCAGACCCTAGCCAGCTTTACACCTCCTAATATATGGAAAATGCTATTTGATCTATGATTGTTATGCCCAGAGTCCTATAAATGTATATAGCATAGGCAGATAGGAAGGAGGCTGAGCCCACTAAGCAGGTTTTGAAGCCAGAAAAAAAGCATAGTTTGGTATTTGTGGTTGTCAGGGTTCTTAAAATGTCACTAATTGCAATCATTCTACTTAGGTTCTTACCTCGGAGATTTAACTTTTCAATTGGTTCTCCGTGGCCAGCGTCTTTATTTTTAAAATACGATATTGAGGTATCTTTAAAAACAAACCAATATTGCTTGTAAGCTTTCAAAGTTAATTTTTTCGGTCTGAAAAACAAACAGAAATGTGTTACAAGTCTCTCTATTTCTCATGCCAATGTCGACACAAATAATATGTGGCTCTGATGTTCTTATCCTATCACTGTTGTGCCAAACATCACCCAGTGCGAGAACAGTATAAGGACAGTGTCAGGGGCACCCTAATGTATGCATACAATTTGCTAATTAAGATTTTGCCCTCAAACTTAAAGCGGACCTTTACCCTCTTTGACTAAAAATCACATAAGCATACAGCTCTGGGTGCTGATATGAAATCAGCTCACATTTGTTAACACATTTTTATTTTACTTACAATTTCTTTTTTTCTACTTCCTGGTCCACTTTGGCACAAATGATGTAATTGTGTCCAAGTATTGCATCCTGGGGAGGTTGCATCCACAGAGCATTGCTAGGAAATCTCATCTGTAATCTCTCAGGGAAAGGCATTTCCTCCCCTGAGATGATATGCTAGGTCACATGTCCTAGTCACATGTGCCAGAGTTCCAGGAAGTAAAGGGAGATATATTAATCTGCCCTTAGTTAAATTGGTCACTGTCAGAAGACTGGAGAAGAAAAGAGAAATAAAGTATGCAAAGCATACAAAGCCTGCAATTATCTAAAACTATGGGGTCTATTCACAAAGCTGCCGAAGGATCTGGCCGTAGCTTCGGCCGATCCTTCGGCTAGCTTCGGCAAGTTTGTATATTGTCATTACTAAACATTTCCAAAGGTGTGTTTCTTGTTATTTTGAAGATCTGGGTAAAGTTCCCCTTTAAGCTTGCCATACACCACCTGAAATTTGACCAGTGTGTGGCCCCATTGGGACCCCCATTCGACAAAAGTTGAATTTTCAATTGACTTCTGATGAACCCACTACTGTTAGGATACAATAGACCGGGGGATCAATAATTTTTCAAAAACTCATAGTGTATGGCCAGCCTTAACCTCTTTTACTGCCATGGATTTTACTATAAACCAGGACAGGCAGAGGCTGAAAACAGGCAATAGTAAAAGGCACTATGTACACTACATGTACATGACAGACACTTACCTAAAGAGTTTTAGGTTATCAGCAAGTTTGGGTATGTCTGTGATATCCTCCTAATAAAATAACAGAAACATATTGAGTTATGTAAAATATAAAATACATCTTTGGTTTTGGATTGTAATGTTCTGTGACAGAATTTATTTGAGCTGTCTTAGTAACAATACATGCAACACAATCACCTATAGAAAAAAACAGTCGTAATGGAAATTTGAGTTTGTTATAGAACTTAAGTGTGAAAATGTATGAATATAGCCTGTTCAGATAAATCTTATCTAGGGATACAATTCAAAATGTACATTGTTTGAATACTACAGTTTGCACATACTGCTGTACTAAATAATTAATTTAGAATGTTGTTACAATGTAGATATGAGAAGGTGGTCAGTGTGTGGTGTGCAGATAAAATTCCACCATCTTCAGGGTTGTTAATCTTTCAGTGGCTTCATAAACATGCACATCTAGCTCAGCTAGGCATGCACACATGGAGGGAAGGATGATATTTTTGGCACTAGTTTGTTAAATGGAAAAAATAATAATCACTTTGTTTTACAGTA